TGCATAAAAAAGAGGCTCTTTCATACAAGTTTCATTACAGAATAAAAAGATCTCCTCTCTCCAGTGGAACCTCCGATATCTAAGTTTCACACAAGATGCAACAAGTAAATTTAAACAAAGTTAGGCCAATGAGTGGCTGAAAATACCTACTATACAAAGTGGCTATACATGACATTGTGAAGTAATTAATCTTCCACCCTAACACCTGTGTAATTTGCAGGATCTTCAGCAGTGGTATTTGTCATAAGAACAAGTGGAGCACTGCTAAATAACTTTATTCCCTTCACTTGGGTTGTATCTTTTTAAAACCCACAGACATACCTTCAGTAGCATGCTAGCATCAAGAAAATCCTGACAGCGGTTCTCAAGAATACCGGAATGAAGAACGCCTGGTAGACAACCAAAACAAGCTCCACAATAGGGGATTTGATTATGTAAAAGATCACCTCCTTCCTCACTGCAGTGATCATGAGTAGGAATGCTCGAATTGAGGAAGGGGTCAGCTGACATGTCTCACTAGACAGGAAGGGGCAGCTGGTGAGGTACCATTCAGTTACACTATCTTTTTCTGTGACCATCTGAACTTCTTAAGAGCATGCTGCAAAATTTATCGATAACTCATAACCCTAGAAAACCATCAAATCCATGCTTTCTGCTCTTGGGATTAGTATTAGTTGCTGTGGTCCCCTCACAATTCTTATGAAATTGTAAATAGCTCTGACTATTACAAGTGTTGAATAGCATCTGAAAAAACAAGTATCAATTTTTTATTTTCTTCACTGTTCATAATTTTGTTATAGTAGATTTGTCTCTCACAAAATCAATAACAAAGAAAACTAGTGTGGTGCTCCTCAAATCATTTGCTAGCTGCTGAACAAAGACAGGTAATTAAGTGTTTAGATTTTATTCAGTCTCAGGTTAAGATTGACTCAACTCAGAGGAGCTCAGGATAATCATTCACCATCCTGCTCCTAATACTTATCTGCAGTAACAGGGAGAAATCTACAGTTAAAGATCCTTGGAGAATAACTAAGGAAATAACAACTACTATGCCTTCAATATTTTTATGTTCAAAACCTCAAAGCTTCATTACTACAGGTCAAAACTAAACTAGAAAGAAGCATGATGCAGCATTCAGTAGGTCATACTTGCTTTTTTTTTTTTTTTTTTTTTAAAGTTTGTAACCAATTCTTTGATGCGTAATAGGGAGGAGCTTGTGCTTCTTGTGCTTCCACTGCCCTGTTTGTGCACTGATGGAGATGAGGCACAGGAATAATTCATGGATGTGTGCTGAGCTGAGGTCCTCAGAAAGCTTGCAGGTTTCGGAACAGTCCCAGTTTGGGAGACACAAGCAGAAAGAACAAGTCAGGGAAGAAGATGAGGGGCTGGATGGGTCTCCTGGATAGGATTTCAAGAGGGCAGGAACAAGTGAAAAATTAGAAGCAGTTTCTTTAAGGTATTTTTTACATCCTAATTCACCAATAGAAATCCATTCAGTATTATGGAACTACAGGGTTGGTCTTGATTGATAGGAACAAGAGAAACGTGCTTTTTTTGTTTCTTCTTTCACAGTTGACTACTGCATTTAGAAAGACATAGTTGACTATTGCATTTAGAAAGACATCCCCCTAACCTTTGAAAGTCCTCAAGATATTTTTGCTAAGAATTTTCAAAAATTGGACTTGAGCTGATACTAAACTATTAATTCCGTAAAAACATCAATAATATAGTCCAGATCTTAAATAGTAAGTCAAGTGGCAAGACATATCCAAAAATTTAAGATTTATCAAAACAGTCATTAAACACAAGTTTATGACAGTTACGTGAGAGTTTAAAGGTTTAACCTCATGAGAAGTTTGTCTTCTCCTTTCATTCAATAGTGTCTGTCCCCACCAGATTCTTATAAGATTGCATTTTAACTTGAACCTTCAAAACCACTGTTAAAATTTGGGCCCACTGACACAGGCCAGAATTTATAGTCTACAAACTCATTTAACCAAACCTTCAAGCAACTGCAGCTAAAGATTTACCTCTGAGAGTTTCCAGTGATACATGCAGGAACCTTGTGAAGCAAGTAACCAGTTTTTCTGAATTTGAAATAAAGCAAACTAGAGCAAAAGAATTTACAGATGCAAATAAAAACCATAAAGCAAGATATTTTTCTTACAGATTTTATGTACCACCTCATATCTTTCAGTTTTACATGTGAACTATTCTTCTGCAATAAAGTTTCAAATATTTGAGATTGTTCTTTGCATTTGCATTCTTATTAAAAAATCATAAAATTTTTGTTTAAAGAAAAATTAACACAGTAAATCAGTCTGGATGACTGGCCTGTCACTGTGTACTACCTGCCAATTAATTTTGCTTGATTAAATCTCATTATTCTCAAACTTGCCCTCTACGATAGCATCACCACTGAGAAGAATGATCTACAGACAAGTCAATGACAGCTGAACAATGGACTTGATGTTACCCACTGGATCATAGTTCCATTAAGAAACCATCTTCATCTTTGTCAAGTGCATGAGCTCCACTTAAACAACTTCATACTTAAAGTGATCTGTTTTCAATCACTGCCTCGGAATTGTTGTATTACACTAACAGTCTTAGGGTAAAACCAAACCAAAGGTTGTAAACTACACAATTGCTGTTGAACTATGTAACTGTTCAGAAAACAAAAGCAAAACTGCCATCCCTCTTCAAAAAAAATCGGTTAAGTAACAAACGAGCAACTCAGAATATGACATTCAGAGATTCTAGTTTGTGGCACATTTTTCCACAGATTAGTTGAACTGTAACCTACTTGGCCAACAGTTTCTTCAGACAGGGATTTTAATTTTTCATGAACACATCACTCTAATAAAGTACTTGGCATTAGTTATGGTTTCTGAATTAAAATGCATTCATGACATTAAATTTTAAAATCACTAAGCCATTAATTTTGACCAGCTTTTTTTTTTTCATCTTGTGTTTGCAAGAATTAGCAACTAAGTGCATATTTCACCAGCAAAAGAATGAAAGCTGTACTAATAAAACTTACTTTTGCAAGTCCCTGCAGAGAATGGTAATATTTTACACACTGACTGCATATCAAATGAAAGCCAAAACCAAATTTGCTGTTCTGATAAAGGCTTATCTGTCAAATATCACATAATAGTTCAAGTTATGATCAAGGGCAACTTAACACACAATCTGCTATCTACATGTTCTTCTGTATTCAGAAATAAAAAGGTTTACAGCATTTCGAACAGTTCTATAAATTGTCTAGCTCAAGCACTGACTTTAGTACCTATTTGTGAAACTATCTTGCTACAAAAATTTCCAGGTAATAACTAAATAGCTGAGCCTACTCAATTGAGGATGCTGATCTGCAATTTCTTCAGGTATCCAAGTCCCTGCGGTTGCCCTACTTTACCTTACAAAAAAATTCCCCCTTTGTCTGCTTTGTTCAGGGTAGCATTCAGAAAGCTCAAATAGTATAAATCATAAGTATTTTAGTTTTTAATATAAAATCATTACTTCAGATATATCTACTGGCCCCTATAACCTTGCTACTAAAAGAAATAATCACCTGCTGATAGTATGGGAGCCCAATAGCGGACTTCAAACCAGTTTTCATCTTGTTTTATCTTGTTTCATGTTGTTCAATTTGATATTTGATTCCCACGCTAGTATATTCTACTGTTCAATAAACTACAGTAGTGAAGTAGCTCAGTTTTAGTTATGCATTTTAATTGAGTACAATTTACACACTTTATACACCTCTAAGTAGTGTGTCAAACTTGCTCAACAATAAGAATGCAGCTCACTAAAACAGATGTCTGATCCTCCAGCTTCTCCAGTTCTTAGTATCAGTTTTCTTTATTACTCTACATTAACTTGTAGATAAATTAAGCATAACATAAGTGTCTAAAATTCCAGCTGTGTTGCAAAATGCTGCTGCAAGGCTAAATTTTTAAGTCCAAGTAGTTTCATAATCTATGTGCAGTTATTTATGAAGGCAGCAG